ATGGCACAGCACACAATTAGCCACACACAAACACACACACACACATACAGATGTGAATCGCCAATTCGATATATTTACTTATTTATTTTTAATTCAATGATATTTTTATTATTCGCAGCAAATCAATATTACTTGAACAAGCAGCGCTTCCTATTGGAAATCCTACATCATCTGCATGAGCCTCTAAGGCACGCAGAGTGTCTTGCACTGGGTCAGCCAATTGTGAGCGATAAGACGCAATATGTCGTAAGTGAATTTCAATAAACAAACCAGAACAGACTCAAAACAGACAAATCTGATCGCACAGCATTATACCGAGCCGATGCGGGAGTATTATCGCTTGCTCAGCTCAGGTCGACTGCTGCCCAAGGATGTCTACTACAATGCGCATCAGGCGGAGCACTTCAGTGAGACCTTGGGCCTCTTTCACTTCTTCTACAACACACGCGAGTGGAGCACACTGAGCCAGAACATATGCTGGGCCCGTGTCCACGCGAATCCCGCCCTCTTTCTGCACGCTCTGATGCAGACGATGCTCAAGCGCGACGATTACCGCGTCCTGACCATGCCCAAGATCTATGAGCTGCTGCCGGCGCCTTATCACAGCGAAACAGTTGTGCGAGCAGCTGGCAACTTCAACTACATCAATTGGATACGACAGGAGCTGATGATGGGCAATCGAAGTCACATTCAAATGGTGCTGCCCAAGCAGCTGTTGCCCACGAATCTGACCGGGGACTTGCGCAACACAAGCAAATGGTCCGAGGCCATGGCTGAGGTGCAGATCTTGAGCATTGGAGAACCAAAGCAGCCTCAAGCTAAGCTGAGCCATTTAATTGACGACTTCGGCTGGTCGAGCTACTGGTACTACATCAATATGGGCGTGGCACTGCGGGACAATCCCTCAGAAGCCGAGCGCATCCGCGATTGGTGCTACTGGCAGCTGAGTCAGATAGTCGCACGCTACAAGCTGGAGCGCTACGACCAGCAAATGGAATACAAACGTCTGTCGTGGCTGGAGCAGGCGAACAGTCAGCTGCTGACCTGGCAAGGCCAGCGATATCATTTGGAGACTCGCGCCACACGGCAGCATCTCTCAGCGCTGCTGCACAAGCTGGAGCTGAGCGTGGAGCAGGCGATCGCCACTCAAACCTTAAGCGTCTCCAATGGCACGTTGATCGACTTGCGTAAGGGTCAGAATTGGCTGCTGGGCCTGGAGCAGCTATTTCCCTACGACTTGAGTCGCCTTCAAGTGCCAACCGCCAACCAGCCCCAACAGCTCCTGGAGCTGCACACAATGCTGCGACAGCCGAGTTTTTACGCATACGCCGATCGATTACTTCACGCCTATCGAACCTATCGCACGGAGTTTCAGTCGAGTTACTCGCAGCCCGTACGACCGACCGATATGAGCATTGAGACTGTCCTGGTCGATCCGCTGATCACCTTCGATGAGCCCGTCGATGTGGATCTCAGCAATATTCTGCACGCCCGCAACTTTTACTATGAGAAGCGTTTCATGTGGCCTCACAGTCTGCAGGCGCGCAGACACCGACTGCAGCAGCGACCGTTCGCGATCACCTTCCAGCTGAGCAGCAATAGGACGCAATCGATTATACTGCGCAGCTACTTGACCACAGCCCGTGGGAATGTCAATGAGGAGCCCTTCTATCAATTGGATTCTTTTCTGACGATACTTTACCAAGGCAACAATACGATACGGCGCGAGTCTAGCGAGTTTCCCGGATTGATCGGTGATCACATAAGCTTCACAGAGCTCTATCACTACATGAGCTTGGCGGAACAGGAGCAGTTCGATTTTCCCTTGAACATAACTCTACCGAGCTGTGGTTTTCCCAGACGCCTGATCTTACCCCGAGGCGGTGCAGGTGAGCCGCTCGCCATGCGACTACTGGTCATAGCTACGCCGTACAACTACAAGGCCCGGCAGGGCAACGAGCTCTTCTGCGACTTCAGCAACGGCGTCAGCAGTTGGAATGAGCTGCCGCAAGGCTACCCCTTCGAGCGGTTTGTGGAGGAGGCAGAGCTGCAAGGATCCCACGTGTATTGGAAAGCAGTCGAGATAGAGCACAGGGATTATGGAATGGCTTAAAGCGGAAGGGGTATATCGTTTGAGCACAACACTCGATCGAATCTTCGACCAGTTGATATGAAGTGTATAGCTAATGCCTTTTTTGTAACGTAACCCAAGTCCATAAATAAAATTTAAGTCCACTATACCGTTGTGTCTATTTTTCCAAGCCCAAAAACCTTTAACGGCAAGTGACGCCAAATTTGGGTAATTACATGGGACAAACGGACAGACGGACAGTGGGACGGTTGCTGTGCCGGCCCGTCCGACGGCACCGCATGAGACCAAGCAACAGCCCAACCACATGTATAAAATATTAATCAAAATCACAAAAGAACAAGCACAAAAACGTAGAATCAAAACAAAAATTAAAAAAAGAAATGAAAAGAAAAAAAAAAAACCAAGAGCAGCAACAAGAAAGCGCAGCGAAGAAAAAGCATTAGGAAGGTGTGGCAGAAGGGAGGCATCGGCGGCAGGGGAGAGTCAGAGGGCAGGGACAGGGCAGGGGAGCAACACACACAGCAAACGTTGCATGGATGCAAAGCACTTTATAAAGTTAAACAACGAAGCACAACGAGCAGGGGCTCGGTCGAGAGGCAGCTAAACTTGTTATACGCAATCGAATCGAAAATATGGGCGAAATAAAGCGACGCTCAGAGTCGATGGCGGGACGGACGGACGGACGCACGGACGGACGGAGGAAGGGAGTTCGATGACGACGAAGTAGTCGACGGGTTGCGGCTGTAAATCTAGAACTAGTTTTGTTTTTTTCTCTCTCTCTCTTTATATTCCACTTGTATATGTATATGTGTGTATCTGTGTGTGTATGTGTGTGTATTTGTCTTCAACCCAATGACGCGGTATAAAAGAAAATATTGGACACCTGCACGGTTTCGTATCGCAGCAATAGCAACAAATACAACAACGAGGCGTATGAGGGACAAGTGAAGCCCAAACCCAAACCCGACAGATGAGCGGTGCTGCGGTACGGGGCGGCTCGACGGTTACGTGGGGCTAAGCGAGCGCGATAACTGCGAGTCGTTCCGAGCCGAGCCGAGCCAAGAGCACAGAAAAAGTTCGAGTCGAAGTGTAAATACGCTCAACGAAATCCAGAGAACCAGAGAAGAACAACACAATCGTGAGTAGATCATGGAGATAGGCAATATATATAGCTAGGGTGCTGCACTACCTCTCCCGCTACTCTAATAGGCTGCCTCGAAATCTCGTAGCTTTATCAGTCCCTCAACATCTGAGTGCCAAGTGTGTAGGGAAATCAAAGTGCTCTGCCCAATTTTCAGGGTAGAGCGACAAGCGATGCAGGCGTGACGCGTCTTAGATTTTCCTCTAGGTACTCCATATGTAGCTGCAAAATTTTGCCTGTCCTGTGTATCTAAAAAGAATAAAATACAAAAACCAAAAACAAAAAGGCAGCCGAGCGTATAGAATGGAAAAGAAGAAGGACGAAAACTAATGGCCAGGCTTTTATTTCCAAGAAATTTAAAACTTTACGAAAACGAAAAATGGTGTTAGGGTGTAGACGCCGAGCCCGAGATCGAGTCGGAGTCGGAGCCGGAGCCACTTAAGAACACATGGTACACTGCTTGAGGATCGTTGGGCAGTTTAGATAAATGTAGACAGCCAGCAGGTAGCTCGAAAATGGTAAATGGTAAATGGTAACTGGTACCGGGTAGCTCTGACCCTGTCTCTGGACAGCCCAAGAGGAATGGAACTCGGCATTAGGTTTAGGTTTATTGTTTGACGCTCAAAGGTTTCACTAGATTTTTGTTGTTGTACTTTTTCTGTGTTTGTATTTTTTTTTTTTTTTTGGCAGCGGCTTTTGCAGACAGAGGATGCGAACTAGACATTTTCGTATAATTTATGGGACAGCATCTATAAAATCGAAAGGCACAAACCTATTATAGACCTTTAACGAGGCGTGCAAATTGTTTCGCCTGAAAATTCAGCACTGCCAAAAATATCGCGCAAAAAAATAAAAAATGACAAAAGATGCGCGACTTCCATATTGGGTAAATCAATTTGATGCGATGTGCGATGTGCAGTCAGCTTAACTGGTCAGGCGAGCCACTCAGCACCCGCTCATTCAAATCTGTTTGCGCTGATATATATATGTATATAAGCATATATATACAGATAACTGTACAGTCAGTCGTATGGCAAACAGAACTGCGAAATGGGAACTGTTGGCTGTCGGCACTCGAGACGCTGCCAGTTTGATTGCTTTTTGAACTTTCCGACTCAGTCTGGAGTCTCTGGCACCCAAACTCCATCCAGGCCCACGCTCCGCCCCACTCCCACTCCGGCCCACCTCTGTGCTGACCGAGTGGCATTTATGCATAATTAATAAATTGCCTCGCATGCAAACGAAGACGGGGCCCAGATTGCAGCGATAAAAGTGGCAGCCAGCTCCTCCAGTCTTATGACTAAAATTAAAATTATCCTTACACATTATTGACAGCCACAATAACAACAACAACAAGAACAGCAACAAGAGCAGCAGCAACAGTTGCGAATCGTAAAACAATCGAAAGCTCCCCGCCACGTCTGACCTAACGAAAGAGAGAGAGCGAGAGGGCGAGAGAGAGAGCTCCGCTGATAGACATCCCCAACCAGAGACTCTGACAGGGGCCAAGAGCCAATGCCAGCTAAGATCTTCAGAGGCGATAACGTATGGCTGCTTGAGGAAGTCACTCACGGAGCCGCTGCACTGCGCCGCTGAGTGGACCTCAAGACTAAGCAGATGAGTGGAGTGGAGTGGAGTGCGCTCGCACAGCGGGCAGACAGCAGCGGGTGATGATGAGGTTCAATAACTGCAAATCAAATTGAATATATGAAATGAAACTGAGAAAAGAACTACGTTGTACATTTAATATATGATAAAGTGGAACACGTTGAGAAGGGAATAATATACAATATACATGTATTTGGAGAATGAAATTTGAGAAGAGATTCAGGCAATGAGATAGATTTAAGCAGCATTAGAGTATTGCAAATATACGTTTGTTGTCGTTGAGGCAGGCGAACAATCAGCTGCTGACATGACAAAGCCAACCATATCAGCCAGAGACTCGCGTCAGTAGAAAACAGTTTACAGAACGCAAGGGCTGCAATTGGAATATATATATTTGAGATGGACTGATTTGGGAAATAGCCTATTAAAATTATTTTGTGTAAAATTATTTATGTTTCAAATTCATTTGATTGAACTATAAACTATTATTTTTAAATTTTTATTTTATTGATTTTACATTCTTTTTGAAAAATATGAATATGGATACACCGAATGTCAACATAAAAAAAAAATAAAGTTTTAACAAATATATTCTTAGCGACAAATATAGATCAACAAAAATATATATTTTTTAGACACAAAGACCACAACCATAAACTAAAAACTCTCACGCCTGATGCAATAGTAATGCGACGTTGCCTGCGCTATCTCCTCGGCGTGTGAGCGTCCCAGAAACTTCTAGAACTACCCCAACAAAGCCATTAAAAGCGCCTAAGCCGGGTTGACCCACTTTCACTGATCACAAAGTGCGAACAGCTGCCCACCCGGACCTACTTTCGATGACACATTGTGAATTATTTTGAACAAAGTGGACAACCCTTGAGAGCGAGAGCGAGATCGAGGCAGGGCGTGGCAAGGCGAGGAGGTGAGGGGGACAACAGTCGGACGAGTCGAACGCGTCACAGATGTCACATACATCACTCATACGACGCTTGGGACAGTGAAAACACAAGGAATGCTTCCGCTTGGCGACCTGAGACACTCACACACACACACATACAGAGAGACACACACGCACACCCGATATGCGAACGCCCACACGCAACGGCACTCACACGTTGCCTGAGCTTTGTTGCCAACAAACGGCAACTTTACAGCTGATTAACGAGACAAGGCCACATTTGGAAGCATGTTTCAAAATTCGAAGAACTCCGGCGAGCCGTCGTCATTTTGTAAGCGATAAAATGTTTCAGTCCCAGTGTTTTGTAAGAGCAGCAGCAGCAGCAGCCACCGAACAATTAACAAACTTCAGCCACCCCACAAAGAGCTTCTTATGCATAATGGATCGTTATGTGTGTGCGTGTGGGTGGGGCGCAACGTTCCTCAATACTCGACCGAAAGTATGTCAAATTTCGTTAATCTCTCGTCGCGATTTGTGTGTCACAAGATATTCGAAGTTGCGCTGCTGCGGCAGCTGAGAGTGTGGCATATTAATTTTTCATTAGGTTTTAATTAAAATTCACTTTGCCTTTTTTTTTTGGGCAGCCAGTCAGCTACTAAACTAATTAAGGAGTCGATTAATATGCCTGTGGCAACGACAAGCTATAAATACCCGTTTCATGAATTGGCCATTTGGCCATTTGGCCAGAAGCCAAATATCTGAGTGGGGTGTCAACGCAATGTGCGAATGCGAATGCGAATGCGAATGCAGGGCCTGGCCTGGCAGGGGGGCCTATAAATACTATATACTAGAACTATTACTAGCTGTTGCTTGGCAATACGACTTCCACACTTTATATGTGCGTATGTATGTATGTATGTGTGTGTGTGTGATGGCTTAGTATGCTTAGTGAATATATATGTATGCGTGTATGTTTCTAACCAAAAGTTCACAGAGAAGCACAATAAATTTATTGCTATATAAATAAAAGAGGGGGCAATCAAAAATTGTTCACTGAGAGAAAAAGTTAGAGAAAAGTGTAGGAAAATTGATACATAATTGCAACTGAGAGGGAGACAGAAACAGAGAGAGAGAGAAGCATGGATAGAGTGAGCAAGGCAGACAGAGAAGAAAGACAGATAGAGAAAGAAATGGAGAGAGATAGAAAAAATCAACGCCGTGGGAGAAATAAGAATTAAGAAGAGAATAAGACAGAGAGAGAGAGAGAGAGAAAGAGAGAGTGAGAATGACAGATCGTGATAGCTTAATAGAGAAAGAGATAGAGAGAGAGAGAGAGAGTGTGTGTGTCTTATAGACACACAGTGTGAGCGAGACAGTAGAAGAGAATGTAAGAGAGACGAAGAGACTGATATCGACACACAGTGGAAATGGGCAAGGCAGGATGAGGGAACAAGTGAGATAGAGAAAGTGAAAGATAATGGGAATGCTACTGATATAGAGAGTCAAAGGAAGATTTAAA